TGTTTCGTCGCCAGCAGGGTGGTGTACAAACATCCAGTCACGAACTTCACGGGCAGCCTCTTTCAACATGTCCTTGAAGTGTTCCTGGTAGACCGCCGCAGAGCACAACGTCTCAGCGCCAGCGCCGTCTTTGAACATGCCCTCAATACGCTGCCGAAAGAGAGGGCTCTCGAAGACATGGCGAGGAACTGGCTGCTCAGACCTGGGGCGCGGGTGACGTTGACGAAGCACCGTGAGCAAAGCAGCATGGTCCGATATCATAGAGCGAGATAATTCTTCGGGTTCTCCGATGGTGGAGGATTCCGCACACGTCTGGCACATCATCCATCCAGGCACCGAGCAGAAGAACCGATCGAGGCAGCTGACCGAGTTGGTGTCCTTTGTGTAGTGCGTCGGTGGCCCCGAAGAAATCTCAAGAAATAATCCCAATGTCCTCAGCCACCGAGCTGCCATAGCACGATGATTCCGAGGATCAGTGGCGCGAGCTGGTTCAGGCCGCTGGAGGAGCAACGCCTCGTCAGGGCCGAAGTTGAGGTCGCCCTGCACGATCACCAAGAAGTGAAGAGGGTCAGCGGCCGCACGTACCCGCGCAGCGTCGATCTCCGCACATATCTCGTCAATCTGCATCGCATTGAGACCATGGTTATGGATACTGAAGTGCACCAGCTGAAACCCCTGCCCGACAACGTCGACTCGAAGGACCCTACCTTGCACGACGGCCGAAGCATTGCTGGTAACATCGAGCTCAGACGCGAGCTTCGGTAAGATAGTGGCGACCCCTCCCGCAGCCGATCCCCCAACATCGGCAGGGCAAAACGGGGCGTGGACCACAGCATCACGATGAAGACGACATAGATGGTCTTCGAGTTGCAGACGATCTTGATGAACTTCCTGCAGTGCAAGGATGGACCCAGGAAGGTGAAATCTCTTCACATATGACGACTTGAGTCTACTCTTCGCTCCTCGATACTGTAACAGAGCTCGAGCATTCCAAGTAATGAATCGCATCGATTCATTCTCATTCCCGCGGGTCGGAGTGTGAAAGGGCTGCATGAAGCCATCAAAGGCACCGCGTCGTAGGAGGCGGAGGGGCCGTAAGCTCATCCACCACTGCTTGGATGTCGGCACGCGTGAGCTTGAGATCCAAGATGCCCTCTTGGTTGAACTGCACGCTGTACGGAGCGTCCTCAGGGTTCGCCTGGATCTTGAGCACGTTGGTCCAACCGCTCTTGAGGATGCCTCGCTCACGATCAACAGACCACCGTCCACCAAACTTGTCTGCGCACGCACCACGGATCCGACGAAGAGCCATCTCCGTCTTGACCTGGCGAGGGGATTTGTCGGGCCCCAAGTGTAGGCGCCCGTCAGCGGCGGCACCCGTGGCCTCCACGTTGAACTCCCTCCACTGATCATTGCGACGAAGGTTGCTGAGCACCTTCGAGACCTTCCGAGAGGCGAGGCCAGTGGCCCCGTTGAACTTGATGAGAAACCTGCGAGCAGGTGTCGGAGACGGGCAAGAAAGGGTGTACTGGTCTGCTTCGAATCCGAGCTCAGAGAGGAACGGCGCCAGCACCTCGCGAACCTGTGACAATCCGACCATCTTGGTACACATCGCCACCACCACGGCAGGGTCCGTCTGGCGGTCGAAGTTGGCGGGCGGCGAGGGGGCCGCTTCCTGGCGCTTGGCCACCTGAAGCCCTTCACGTAGTTCGGCAAACTCGGCTCGTAATTGGTGCAACTGCTCTGTGTGTGAGTCCAGCTCGATGTTGAGAGTAGCAACCTTCCCTGTGACATCATCAATTTGTCGCTGCATCTTCCTGGACAGTTCGTCAAGCTGCGGTCGGAAGACACCCATCGCCTTCTGGTCAAGCTTAGCTGGTTGGTCTTCCAACTGCTTCTGCAGCACAGCCAAGGTCCGCAAGATGGAGGCGTTGCTGGATTTGACAGTGTCTCCCACTGTAGAGGCGACGAGACCTTCGAGCTCCGTGCGCAGCTCGCTGAACTGAGAGGCGACACCATCGGCGATGACGGCTTTAATATACTCGTCGGGGTAGTCATGAGCAGCATGCCCAGCGGGTGCACGAGCAGGGGCAGGACCTGCAGGGGAGCCACCAGCATGCACAGGAGCACCGACAGCAGGCTGATCAGAAGAATGCGCCAGCTGATCCGAGCGCCCGAAGACGAGCGCGGCACCAGCCGCGGCATCACGGGAGGCCAGGCTGGCGACACCCTTGCCACTGTCTGAGGATCCCTTGCCCTCCTCGGTACGCGGATACTTGGGCTCAGGCGAGCCCTGGACACGATGGCCTTCAGCACGTTCATCATCAGGGAAGGTGGGCATGTCATCGATCTCCTGGGCACAACGGGCCAGCGCAGCGGCATCGGGAAGCCCCATTGCAACTGGGACGTTCGTTCGCACAGGAACGGGAAAGGCCTCCGTTTACCCGTGGGGGCGAGCGTCGGTGCGAAGAACAATCTCTGCCAGACCGCCAGGGGTCTTGTCTTCCGCGGACTAGCGGTATCCACTTGTTCCACTGAGGAACTATGCATCTTGAGCCAAAATGGCTACGGCGGAGGAGGAGGAGGAGGAGGAGGAGGAGGAGGAGGAGGAGGAGGAGGAGGACTCTAGAGGACCTATCGGGTGCCACGGCAACTCCAGGCCGCTCTGGCCCTGGGCCCGCCCGACCGTCCCCCAGAGGCGGAGGCGCCCCGCAGGGGGCACGCACGGCACCCAGGGCCAGTCGAGGTTCCCGCCCGTCCTGGCAGAGGACAGCTCGTCGGCAGAATCAAAGCGTATATCAAGGGCCAGTGGTAAGGACGCAAGACCCTTGCGAGGCCGACACTGGGCTTTTTTGGGCGACGGGCGGCCAATGAAAGCGGCAAAGGATGGGCCGCAGAGGCAAGGACACAAGGGCATCCTAGACGAAGGCGCGCGTCCTTACGAGGCGCGTTGAATGTACTCTCTCTCTCTCTCTTTCTCTCTCCTCTGCCTCAATGGCACACCGCTGTGCTTTCGGCTCTGGCCGAATCGGGTTCCAGCAACGGGTGCGCCGAAGAGGGGGGCCCAGGAAAACGGGGGTTGCCGCATCATGGCCCGAGACATTTGCGCGGACGAGGGGGAGGGACCAGGGATAGTATCGAAAGAAAACGGGGGGGCGTGAACTCTGGAAGATCCCATGGCCCTGGCCATGGCCATGATATCCACGCCCCCTACTTCTCACTGCCCTCTTCGACGCCTGCTGGCTGTGTTTGGGTCACAACTCAAGCCCCTCCAGCGGCCCTTCGGGATGGGTCGAGCACCCCTGGAAAACTTTCGACGAGGCGCGGCCGCTGGAAAATAGCCCGGGGCAAAAACTCCAAGAACTCGGGGACTCGTCAACGGGGGCGATACGCGGGATGAAGAGACGTGCCCGCGGTGGATGTCAAGGACCCTTGACAACCCCTCGAGGGCCACTTTCATGCCTTCCTTGATCACCTACTACGTGTACTGCCCCCCGCTGCCGCTCGCCCGAAGAGCCCTCTCGCTCGCAGCTGGTCCCTGGCCGACTGCCCTGGCCGAGGCTGAGCGTGCGCGGAGCGGAAGGGCCACGCGTTGGCAGGTGCGCTCGGACGACTGCTGGTCGGGAGCCGAGGCCCAGGCGCGGGAGGCCGAGGCCCACGCGTGGCGTTCGGCATCATACTGAAGGGGCCCTGGGACACGCAAATCAATAGACACACACAACAGGACTCCCCATATGTTCCTATATCTTCTGGGTTTTCGTCTTCCCCCCACTTCCCATACTTTCCCATCTTTTCCTGGGTATCGACGTTTTTTTTTTTTTTTTTTTTTTTTTTTTTTTTTTTTTTTTTTTTTTTTTTTTTTTTTTTTTTTTTTTTTTTTTTTTTTTTTTTTTTTTTTTTTTTTTTCTGTTTTTCCCCTCCTGAGTCATGCGTGAGGGGGGTCGAGAAGGAGGCGAACGTCGAGGCATGGATCGGGCTAGACAGAGACAGAGACAAAGAAACAGGACATTCTGGTCAGCCCGATCCGATCCCATTCTATCCCAGTGCTCGGACGATCCGATGCGGCCCGATGCTTACACGACGCTGTTATGCGTGCTGGCACGGCCGCTCCGATGCAGTTTCGACTCCGTGCCGATGCAGGCCGATCTGCGAAAACCTCGCGCCGCGTATTGCCACATGGTACCGCTACGGCATCCTGTGTCCTGGGTCGACGTGGACCTTGTAGGTAGGAAGCTTACCAAGGACGTATGCGCCCAACCACGTACGTGAACACAGCCCCCCAGTCCGCGAGACCAACCTCTGGTTTCGAACGGTCGCGCAGTGCGTACTTTCGAAACCAACGCGTATTCGTATACGTGTGCGTTCTTCTTTCGCTCATGAGTAGGGCCTTGGCGTGAGCCGTGGGAGGCACAAGCCGGGTGACGGTCTTGTGACCGTCCAGCTGTATGAATCGTGCGACGCCTTCCCGATCTCCGGGGGCCACGGGACCCTCGACCCAGACGTCCTTCGGCTACACGCAAGAGTGCGCCCAGGAAAGAGTGACCTTTAGTGCGCGGCCAAGGGGGAGACCTTTGGGGACACCACCAGGCGCGCAAGCCGCTGCTATCGCCTTGCACCCGGCGATCGGTGGGCCCCAGTGGGCCCGCACCAAAGGTCATTCCAGCGAAAGGGCACACTTACGTGTAGTGGACTCCTCGCGTCGCAAAAAACAAGACGGACGGTTCCTGGGGCTGCTTGCCCTGTCTGCAAAGCCGGCCCCAAGGAAGTAGTCTAAACCTCTGGGGACACCCGTGGCCGCCCAGGGCGAGCCAAGGGAGACAAGAAGCTGGGCAGACGACAAGTAGCGTGGACCGAATGCGCGTCTCCCAGGCTCCCTTTGGCCGTCCGAGATTGGCAGCCAGAATCAAGGGCGAGCTTCTACCTTTCCTGCTCTGTCTGCTCTTCCGACTCACCATGCCCGTTCTGAGTGCCCATCTCCTTCTATCCCTCCTGCTTATGTTCTTCATTCCTCGTCACTCGTCTGAAGTAAGCAAACGATCCCACTGGTGGTCGCGACTGGCGTTTCCCCAGGAAGCGGCAGGCGAACTCACTCCCCCCCACTGCACGAGGCTCCCCGATCACTTGGGAACGTCGCCCACGCCGTTCTCCGCGCCGCAGGTGGTGCCGAGGCGGAACGCGTCCGCGGGGCTGTTCGGGCACACGTCGAGGGCGCCCCTGGCGAGCGCCGAGCGCCACGCACGGCGGTAACTGCCCTGGGCGTCTTGCAGCCGCCGCTGGCTCCCCAGGCCCTGCCCCGCTCGCTGGGCGGCGAGGCGCGCCCCCCGCAGGCTGGCCAGGGCCGCCCGCCACGCCCGCCGGCCGCGCCCCGCGGCCTGCGCCTGCGCGGCGCCCAAGCTGCCCAGGGAGGCGGCCAGCCGCCCGTGGGCGACGGGCCCCGGGACAAGCCGCAACTCCTCCTCGTCCAGCTCCACGGCGCGCCGCAGGCTGCGAAGGGCCCCGGCGCCGTCGCCGGACAGGAGCTCCGCGGAGCCCAGCGCCCTCAGCAGGTCCGCCCGCTCGCTGCGCGGCCAGGGCGCGCCCAGGGGCTCCAGGCCCTCTGCGCGCCGCAGCAGCGGCAACACCCGCGCCGCACACGCAGGCGGGCAGCGCGACCCAGCGCCGAGGATCATCGCGTGCCCGTAGCTCGCCAGGTGCCGCGCCAGGGACGGCCCGGGCTCTGCCGCCGGCGTGAGGGCCTCGCGCGCTGCGGGGCGCACCCGCGCCTGCCCCACCACCGCGCGCGCCATCGCCAACGCCCCACCCGCCTGCGGGCCAGCGTGAGGCGCGGCGCCGCGCCCGCCGCCCGGCTCCCAGGCAAGAAGGCCCGCTGCGCAAGAGGAGAGCTCGATCGGTGCCAGCGCCGAGGAGTTCGTCTGCCACGCCCAGATGCTGAGGCCCGAGAGCGCCTCGGCGCGCAGCCCGTCCAGTCCGTCGCCAATCGGCAAGCACGGCCTCGGCCCACCTGCGCCTTTTGGCTCCACGCCCATGAGGCTGGCCGCACCGCCAAAGAGCTCCGCAGCCTCGGAGGCGCGCGCGCTCAGCATGGCGGCCCAGCCAGAGCCGCTGAGGGCCTCCGCTCGCACCGCGGCCGCGTCGTCGGGGTCCAGGTCGACCACCCCGCTCGTGCGCAGTGCGTCTCCGAAGCGGCCGCGCGCCGCCTCGAAGTCCAGGCGCGCCATCTCCGCGTGCCCCCAGCTGTTGTGGCAGCGCGCCACGGCGCGGCTGCTGCCGCTCTCCACCGCGGCGCGCAGCGCTCGCTCCGCGGCCCGCGCCGCGCCGGCGTGATCCGCCCGCCTGGAGTATGCGCCCACCAGCGCGGCGTAGACCTCCGCGAGGTCCTCCAACAGCCTCGCCCTCTGCGCCTGGGTGTGGTTGGCTGGGGCGCGAAGCGAGCCCTCCAGCTGCGCGGCAGCGAACGAGAGCAGGCTGGCCGGGCCCCCCTCCGACAGGGCCTGCGTGCTGTTTCGCGCGGCCGCCGGGCCTCTGAACCACGCGGCCCTCGGCGGAAGGTCCCGCCGCAGCACCACGGGCCGCCGCGCCCCGTGGACGCCAGCAGCGGCACCGCCGGAGCCCTGGAGGCTCGGCCCCTTCGGCGCATCCCGGCGCAGCACCGCGGGCCGCCGGGCCTCGGCACCAGCACCGTCGGCGGCCCCAGAGCCGCCTGCTGCGCCTGCGCCCGCCAAGACGCACGCGCGCGTGAGAGGCGCGGGGGCGAGCAGCTCGGGGATCGCCCCGCCGTCCAGCGACAGGTTCGACCGGGCGGCCAGGGTCTGCTCCACGGACGCGAACGTGCCCGCCTCGCCGGCGGCGCCTGGGAGCGACGACGGCTCGCACGGCGACGGCAACGGGTGCCAAAGCTTCGTAAGCAGGGCCGCGTAGAGCGTGAGCAGGGCGGCGGAGGTGCGATGCCGCAGCAGGCAGTCCGCAGCAAGGAGCAGGGCCACGCAGAGAAGCGCCAGGGAGCGGCCCGCTGCGCCGAGCACGGCCGCACACCCGAACCTCGGCACGGCGGCGCCAGACATGGCGGCCTGGGATCGCTGGCGAAGTATGTAGGTATGTGGATGTATACTGCCTGGGCTTAAAGAAAAGCTAGCCTGAGCCAGCACGGCTCGAGCCAAAAAGGTGCCGCAGGAGGAGGAGGACGAGAAGGAAAAGGCCGACTGGAGAGGATGACGAGCATGATGGAGGGGACGAGAGGGTCTGTGAGGAGCGAGCGTGGACGGAGGGCGTGAGGAGGGAGGGGAGAGATGAATCAGGGAGGGCGAATTGCGCGCGCTGCGCAAAGGAATAAGGACAAAAACGCGAGGGAGGTGGAGGGAGTGAGGAAGATCACGGGGAGGAGAGGTAGTGGATAGTGTAAGAATGGAGCAGGGGGGAGGACGAGCAGGAGCAGAAAGAGGAGGGGAAGAGGAGGAATCGAGTAATGCTATGGGGGGAGGAAGACGAAGAGTGACAGCATGAGAGGGAGGAAGCGCAGAAGGAGCAGGGGGAATATGAGAAGGACACACACTATCGGAGGGGCGAGGCCAACTGGGCACTGGTGACCGTCACCGTGGGTTACAGCCGGGGAACTCTCCGAACTTCTTTCCAACATCTCGAAATTCCATCAAACAGGAATTCAAAACAAGCAGAATCGCTGCAGCCCAGAATCAGTTTGTTCGAACATAGCTCGACTAGAGAACCGATCTCAGCGCTCACGCGGTGATCGACTGATGCGCCTGATCTGGTCTGAGCTCTGTATACTTTCCAGATAAGCGATTTGAGGCAGAAGAATAATTGCTCCGCGGAACTAGTTTTTCGAATACCTGCCCTCGGAGAACCGATCTCGACGCTCTCGAGGTGATGAACCGATGCGCTTGATCTGCCTCGATCGAATAGTACACCAAATACCTCATAATTGCTCTAAATCTCGAAATTGGATCGACATGCAATTTGAAAAAACAGCAAGATCCGCCAACCCTTCGGCCTGTGTGTGAGACGCTTTTCCGTTTTGGGTCGTCTTCGTTGTGATCGTCGTCGACGTCGTCATTGATTTCGTCGTCGTCGTCGCCCTCCTCTTCCTCGACGTCGTCCTACTACCCCTTTTCCTTGGGCCCTGCTTTCCGAATGATCCAGCCCAGCGGAAATCCGCCGATACCGTGTGGGTCTCTAGGCGTGTGAGATTGCCCCCCCTCCATAACCCCCCCCTGGGACCCCAAATCGGCAATTCGGCCTCACCCCCCCCCGGGCCGCGGAAGGTCCCGGACAATGCGCGTCAGGGGCGGGGAGAAGGGGCAAAACGGTCCAAAAGGGCACCAAGACGCCTCCCAGACTGTCCAAGAGAGTCACGAGTGGCCGAAACACCGCTCCAAAACGCCGGCGATGGTCTCCAGACGGCCTCCGAAGCTCCCAAGACACCCCAAGAGGCCCCGAACATGCGTCCCACGAGGGTCCCCCGACGCAAACATGGTCCCATCCTCTTCGTATGACGTACGTTTTAAACAACATCGCCTCTTCGGCTGTCCGACGTTCCAAGACGACTCAAGAGCCCCCCACAACCGCCCCAGTACGGCCCAGGAGGCCCCCACAGGCGCTCCAAAACGGCCCAAGAGGCCTCCAAGACCGCCCAAGAGGCGCAACAGAGTCCCAAGACGGGCCCAAGAAAGAGCACAGAGGGGAATTGAGAACCGAAAGCTCCACTGTTCTGCCGCAAGACCAGGAAGCCCCAACAAGCCCCCAAAAGGCCCCAAGGGGTCCCCAGGAGGCCCCCCATGACGCCCCAGGAAGCTCCCAAAAGGTCTAAAAGAGGCCCCAGGAAGCCTCCAAGAGGCCGAAAAAAAAACCCAAGAGGCTCCAAAACGGCGACCACGAGGCCTCGAACCTGGCTCCAGGAGGCCCCCGAGAGGCCAAGCACGAGATCCCGATCAACATCCACGAGCCCTCTATCCTCGTCGTCGCCGCCGTCGCCCTCTTCACCCCCACATCCTACTCATCGCCCTCCTCCTCCTCCTCCTCCTCCTCCTCCTCGTCTTCCGCACCGTTCTCCCCCTCGTTGTCATCATCCGAATATAATCCCCTCCCAATTTCGGCAGATGTGCCTCAAGTGGTACCAGCTTAGGCGCGTCACTCTAAGCCACAATCCAGGCACCACGGGTCCACGCCACGCGGAGCACCAGCACCACGCGAAACACCACGCGAAATACCAAACGTAACACAACACAAGACACACTACACGAAGCGCCCCACGAAAAAACCCACGATACACTACACGGGATACCCAACGAAGCACCCACCCAACGAAACCCTCCACGAAACACCCCACGAAACCCACCACGAAACACCCCTATATTCCACCGCGGGCGCCTCTTTGGGCGGCTACTCGTGATGGCATTGGCGCTGAAAGGGATATCATTTGCATGACTTGCATTTGAAGATGCCCTTCTTTGCGTCGCGCGCGACGTAGCGACCGTCCACGGCGAAGGCCGACTTCGGCAATTTCTTTTGGCATTTGCCACTGCGCCGGTAGGCTTGCCAGCTGCGCGCCGTGAGCCCGTCGGCAGCGCAATCTGCACATGCAGAATTATTCTTCTTTGTGAAATGCTTACTCACTTGATGGTCGCTGACGCGCTCCTGCCGGGCGAAACCTTTCTCGCCGGACGCGCGCGCCAGCAGTCGCTGCAGGCGCTTCGACTCATTGGATTCTCCTTGCGCGATTATGCCGCACTTGCTGCAGCCCCCGCGCGCCATTCTCGCTCCTTTCTTCGTCCGATGGTCCTTCGTCTGGCTGCGAGTCGCATGATCAGCATCCCAAATAATCGCCCCGCAATCTGGAGCGCAGCGCGTCAACGACGTCGCTTCCGCCTATGCTTTCCTCTTGCGGTTCGCTGCCTCTGCATTTGCTTCTCGCGTCGCCATTTCTTCTGCCCCGGCGCATGTCCGACGCGGTCTTTCTCCGGCCGAGGCGCGTCTCTTTTGCGCCTCCGACACGCGCGCGTTGTCGTCAACAAGCGAAAGGCACGCTTTGTTTGAACATCGCACTGCGCAGGCGCTCTCTCTCTCTCTCTCTCTCTCTCTCTCTCTCTCTCTTTTTTTTTTTTTCTCTCTCTCTCTCTCTCTCTCTCTCTCTCTCTCTCCTCTACTTCGCGCTGCGACTGCGCGACTTGTTCTTCGACTGGACATCCTGGCACTTCGCGCAGTGCAGGGCCTTGATCTTCTGCGCCCTCTCTGCGCCGCCAAAACCCGCAACGCCCCAATCGCCGCCGTGCCGCGTCGGAACGTCGCTCTCCGCTTTGGATGCCCATCCTCTGCGCGTTTTGACCTTGGAGCCGGGCCAGGGAGCCACGTGGTTGCCGATGCGTGAGGAAGCCCATAGGCAAATCTTTTTCACCTCAGCCTAGCTCTGAGCGCGGCTGGCCACGACCCCCAGACGTCGTTGAGCGCGCGTGCACGAGCTGCGACGGCTCCGGCAGCAGCGGCCGGACACCTGCGGCAGCCTGGAAGAAAATTCCGAGACCTATGAATATGTAATCGCGTATCCAGGAAGCGCCTGCCAGCCCCGAAGAGACCCAGAGATGCGCGCGCAGGGCGCGCCCCGCGTGGAGGTCCGAGGCGACGTGGCGGCCTGGATAAGGGACCAGAGAGGCAAGGTATGCGTTCCACACGGCCGAGGTCCTGGTGGGTGACAAGTTGGCGAGGTGCAGCGTGATGGCGCGTTCTCTGAGCTTGGGTAGCGGCTTGCCCCGTGTCCCCTGCAGTAGGATGTCTAGCTGCAGCGGGGTGAATCTACCTCCGCGCGGCGGTGGGCCGTCGCCCGCTCGCGACGGTATCGAAGCGCCGAGAAGCGCCGAGGTGGGGCCACCTGGTTTTGACGCAGCGACTGCCGACTGGGCTGTGGCTAAGGAAGTCGCGCCACCAGGGATGGCCCCCAGTGGGCGCCGCAGCTGCTGCGAAGTTGCATGAGCAGTGGCAGGTCCACTCCGTGCAAGCAACATCTTCGCCCCCAAGGCTGCCGCGCACTAGGGCGCCCAGTAGTGCAGGAGGGAAGTCTGTGACCCGATGCACGTCGCCTTCTTTTCTGTAGTCGACAAGGGGGATCCGAAAGGAGGGCAGCAAGTCCGGGTCCACTGCCTGTGATGTGCACGCCCCTGCACCTGTGCGCGTCGACGAGGAGGCCCGCGGCCCGCGCTCCCCATGGGAGCGCGATAGTGACTCGTAGGGTTCGCGCTGCCCCCTGGGCGAGGGAGGCGAGATCGTCGACGCAGGTAGGGCAGCGGTCGTTGCTGTCGCTGCAGATGACCGCGATGATGGGATCGTAGCCAATGCGCCAGAGAAGAGGGGAGGCGGTGCCGCCCATGCCAACGGATCGGAGCAGCCGTCGTCGCTGTCCATATGTCTGAAAAGAGAAAGTGTAAGGAATGCCGGAGCCACGGCGGAAGCCCCCATTTCTTCAGCAACCGCCCGATGCATTGCATGGAAATGCGTTCGAAGGCCATATTCGGGCCACAGAAGATGACGGCTCTGGTGGGGGCGGGGGGCACCCCGTCGGCGACGCTGCGAACATAGTGCTCCGCGCAGGAGAGGTGCCGACCGAGCAAGGCGTTCCAGGCGGGTCCCAGTTCCCCGCGGTCCGAAAAGGGTGCTCCCTAGGAACGTAGTGGCTGCCCGTATGTCGGGCCCGCACTGTCCGCCCTTCTTGGCAGCCTGGCCGCTGCATAGCAGTGGTTCGATCTTGCGCCCCAGTAGGTCGGCGATGGTAGCGCCGTGGGGCCGACGCATGCACGCGGGGAGCTGCAGGGGGCGCAGGTCGTTGGGAGTCTCAGCGCCTGCCTTCTTTCCGATCCAGAGCAGGAGGTCGATTGATGGCCCCTGGATGCGTGCGATCTGTGCGGTGCACCAGGCCTGCTCAAGGAGACAAGCCACGAAGCGGGCACCGCAGTGATGGACCTCGCACGGTTCCCCGTCAATGCCCACGACGCTTCTGGCGGGGGCCAGCACGGGGGGGGGCGATCCGTCCCCAGTTGGGTTGTGCATTTTTTCGCCGATGGTGATGGATCTGTCGATGCTGAGGTAGGAATCCAGGAGCGCGTCAGCGAACTCGGGTAGGGGGGGCGCTCTGCCAGATGCTGCTTCTGCTGTCCCAGA